ATCCAATTTTGTATGTCACACAATATTACCACAAAGGTCTATAAAACGCAAAATTTTAGTTAAAAGCACATTAAAGTGAATTGTAGAGCAAACAAATGCAATACATTACCCACATTTTTGGGAAAATATAAAAGATGAGGTTGCACCAAGTAAATAGGTACCCAACATGTCAACCCTTAAATTTGCGTGAAATGGGGACAAACTTCAGTACCCTATATTTTCTAAAGGCGACACTTCAAAAGCCCCTACAGGATATCAATTTAGTGTTACAGAGGAGGTCTTTTCCTGGAATTATTGTTCTCAGTCCGGCATGCGCAGTGATATGTAACGTGTATCGCAATCAACGTTTTTGCACGTAGGTGCCCCCGTTGCCTGCGGTTTCATTTGTGCATGCATATATATGGGGGTTTGGGGCCTCAAATTTTTTTTCTGGAGGGGGGATGTTATATGCTTGGGTGTAACTTTATTTTTTTGGCAAAAAAAAACATTTTTTTTACTTAACCTTTTTTTTTCATCACATGTGATGATTTTTAGTTGACAGTTTCTCTTTAATAAGACATGCAGGATCTAAAACCCCCAGCTATTGTAGTCGTGGAAAGTGAGAGTGGTGACCCGGAATTGACATCATATCTGCTCTCCTTTCTCCCCTCCACCCGCCGACACCCGCCATGTTAGGTCCTGAGCCCACAGATGGGCAAGCGGATCCCAAAATACATGGCAGGAGCACGTGAGGGCGCCATTTCTGGGATGTGTGAAAGCAATCAGGCAGCAACGCTGCTGACTGACTGCTTCCACCTGACAGACAGGAGTCTGCCTGTTAGTTTTATATACAATCCCTGTGGCTGCAGCCCCCAGATTGTGTATAAAACCCCTGCTGTCAGGCAGTGACTGTCTTTAATTCTGTTAACCCGCACCACCCAATATCAAGCAGCAGCAGCTACAAAAGTAGTTAACATCTAGGGATGTATAACAAGGGAGAATAAATCATTTGATGCTAATATAGTATTTCATATGTTTCTATTTGGCTATAGTTCAAAACTAATGAACAACCATCTTCTTGACACCCCTAATCCATGTGAAAAGCATCAGAGAATGTATTCAAGATGCAGGGACTGTAGCTGAAGCCTGCATGTTTACCAAAGGAAGTGGTTGTTCTATGTGTAAGGTGGTCTTGGGTTTATTATGATGGTGTATGAATGCAATGAGACTAGTTCCTGAAAGGTCTGGCATGCAGGAAGACAGAGAGAGCCAACAAAAGTGGATCTAGAATGCTTGTGAGTGGCACTATCTTCCATATGCCACCATTGAACTGATGTCTCTTAAGGCCCCATCACACCGACTCTACCACATTGCATTTTTGGAGCTTTTTTAAGTTTTTGGAGTGGCACCATTCATTTGAATGGGCCTCCCTTTGTTTTAAAAACACCTGAACTGTACCAAATTTTGGCACTGAGCCAAGTATGTTTTAAGTTGTGTCTGTGCATTTTGTTGCATTGAAAACGTGTAGCAAAATGCGCAATAGCTACCTGTGTTTGGGAGGCCTTAAGAAATAATGGCACCAGAAGCGTATTGCATGTTTTAGTGTGTTTTTCACAAATTTCTGCCTGCGTTTCTGCCACACCCAGGTGTGAATAGGCCTTAGCTCAAGTAAGTCTGCATGTTCTCCCTGTGCATGGGTTTCCTCCAGGTACTCTGGTTTCCTCCCACACTTCAAAGACATGCTGGTAGTTTAATTGGCTTCTGTTTAAATTGGCCTTAAAATGTGTATGTATGAATATGAGTTAGGGACCTTTGATTGTACGGTGTTTGAGGGTTAGGGACTGATGTGAATGTACAATATATGTACATCACTGCGTAAATTGATGGTACTATATAAGTACCTGTAATAAAGAAAATACTTAAATAAGTATTGGTAAATGCAAATATAACTGGTTAGGTGTTTAAGACCCAGCTACAGATCTCAGCTCACTTCGAGATTAACTTCTTTTTGAGTCACCTAATATGCATCATTTTATTATCAATGCAGTTCTTACAGTATAATATACAGTGGGAAAAATAATTATTTCATCCCCTGCAGATTTTGTAAGTTTGCCCACTTACAAAGAAATGAAGGGTCTATAATTTTTATCATAAGTGTATTTTAAATGAGACAGAATATCAACCAAAAATTCAGAAAAAACACAATACAAATATTATAAATTCAGTTGCTGAGTGAGCAAAAAAAAGTATTTGATCCCCAAGCAAAATATGACTTAATATAAATCAAAAGATGCAGCGCTGGACAAGAAGTACTATAAGTGTATAAATAAATGAATAAATAATTGTAAAACAAGAAGTTCATATAATAATATCAAGGTGACTTCAGGTGCTCTCATCTATTCCTATCCTCCAGGTAACAAGGTGCTGTGCGATATAGTGCAGAAGAAATGCACACTCACCAGAACGCACAGTTTAATGAGCGTTTATATATATATATTTTTTCCTTGAGGTCATCGGCTGGTCAAGGCAGGGTCTGGAATCCAATGGTCTCCCTCCAGTGCTACTGGGTGTTATTGCTAGGACATCAGGATGATCCCTCGGATGTTAGCCTGTGGACTACTCCTCAAGTGGTAAGAACGCTCCTTCACCAGCAGTGAGATGGATGGCTGTGAATTGATACTCCCCAGGGGAGTCAAAGCAGAGACATCTCCATAGTGTAGTAAGTACGTATTTTATTGAGATAAAACGAGGATAGAGATCGGTATTATACAGGAGAAATCATGGACTAACCGTCCAATGTTAAAGATGGCCGCCGGAGCTCCACGATGCTCCGGCGGCGTGACGTCACGGCGTTCCTGGCTCCTCCTACGCGTTTCGTGCACACGCACGTCGTCTGGGGGGATTTGGCAAATAAATACGTACTTACTACACTATGGAGATGTCTCTGCTTTGACTCCCCTGGGGAGTATCAATTCACAGCCATCCATCTCACTGCTGGTGAAGGAGCGTTCTTACCACTTGAGGAGTAGTCCACAGGCTAACATCCGAGGCATCATCCTGATGTCCTAGCAATAACACCCAGTAGCACTGGAGGGAGACCATTGGATTCCAGACCCTGCCTTGACCAGCCGATGACCTCAAGGAAAAAAAAAATATATATAAACGCTCATTAAACTGTGCGTTCTGGTGAGTGTGCATTTCTTCTGCACTATATCGCACAGCACCTTGTTACCTGGAGGATAGGAATAGATGAAAGCACCTGAAGTCACCTTGATATTATTATATGAACTGCTTGTTTTACAATTATTTATTAATTTATTTATACACTTATAGTACTTCTTGTCCAGCGCTGCATCTTTTGATTTATATTATTGTTTTATTAGGTTTATGGTTACCTGGTGCACAGCTGCTACTGTCAGGAATGGACTGGCCAGCTATGGTGGGACTCGCCTGCCTTTTGATCTGCAGTACCAGGGCTGGCCAGTGGGTGTTCCCAGCAATCAGAGACTCAACTTTGCAGCCAGCTAACACCTGTAACTGATTATGCTGGGGTATTTAAGGGATGGCCAGACCCACAGACTCTGCCTTGGTGTGTGTTTGTCCTGGGCCCCTGTATCCTGTTTCTGTCCTGCATCCTGTTTCTGAACCGCTGCTGACTTTTCCTGCTCTGATCCCGGCTCGCTCCTGACCATCCCTCTGTCTGACCCTCTGTACCACGCTGCTTGCTACCTGTTCTGATCCCTGGCTTGTGACCCTGACCAATCTCTGCTTGCTCCCCCTGTACCTACCTGCCCTATTGATATTGACCCGGCCTGCCTGACGACGCTTGCTTGTATGTACTGTTATCTGTGGGGGTGGTTTGGTTTGTTTGCACTGTATTATGTTTTAGTATTGCACTGCGTTTATGTTTGTATTGTTAGTGTTAATAAATTATATTGTTTATAACATATCTGAGGTCTGCGTTTCCCTGCGTCAGTCACACATCTCTGGTCACACCTGGGAGCCCTGACATTACACCAAGGCCAATCCTGACCAGAAGTGGCTGCACAGGGAAGCCATCTTGGCTTGTTGATGGGAAGGATGGATCTGGATGAGGTTGAGTATTTATCTCTGCTAGTGCTTGATGACAGAGAGTATGCTTATCAGACTCTGAAGGAGTATCCCCGAGATGAACTGCTAGAATGTATACGGCTCGCTCATGTTCTAGTAGATCAGGGCACAGATTTCTCTATGGTGCAGCCATTGATTCAGGTTTGTGTTGAGTTGGTTTCATCTGGTTCCCCCGAATGCAGGGATGAATTTTTGCCACCATTTAGTGCAGACCAGGTTGAGTCCCTGGTGTGGTTATTAGAGGATGATGTGGGTTACTTTCTGGAGCGTTATTCCACATGTTCACCACAGACACTAAGAGATTGTATAAACGCAGTACAGTCATTGACCAGACAGGCTTTGTGTAAACTCAGCTTTGTTCAACCCCTACTGCAGACATGGACAGACTTGTTGCACCCAGCCTCAGTCAGCTTACAAAAACCCAGTCCTGCTTCTAACTCTACTCCTGTATTCCCACCAGCTCCTCCAGTTACAGCCCAGTATACTTGGCTATCTACCCATGGCATGTCAGTACCCTGTTCCCACTCGCTGCACCTATCCTGCCTTTAACCCTGTAAAAAAGCCCTCTGTAGCAACTGCTCCCTCTCCTGTTCCATCCTCCAGTTTTTCTCTGTCTCCAGCTGCTCCATTCGTTTGCAGACCTGCGTTTACTTGCAGTGCTCCAGTAGTTAAAACCAGAAAAAAGCGAAAATTCTTTCCAACCAATACCATCCTGCCAGTATCCAAACCGGTGAACCTGCCTTCCGTGACTCAGCCTGAATGCCTCTACTTCAGCCGGATGCCTCTCTTCAGCCGGATGCCTCTCTTCAGCCGGATGCCTCTCTTCAGCCGGATCAGCCGGATGCCTCTCCTCAGCCTGATGCCTCTCCTCAGCCTGAAGCCTCTCCTCAGCCTGATGCCTCTCCTCAGCCTGATGCCTGCATCCTCAGCCTGATGCCGCTACTCAGCATGATGAACTGATCCAGCCCGACGATCCTATTAGGCCAGTTGACTCGATGCCCGCTGTTGATCCAGATGATCCGGTACCTGATCCAGTGCCCGCTGTCGTGCCAATTGACTCAGAGCCCGCTGTCATACCTGGTGACCCGGTGCCCACTGCCTTGCCAGATGACGCGGTGCCCGCTGGCAAGCCAAATGACCTGATGCCTGGTGACCCAGTGCCCGCTGTCATACCTGGTGACCCGATGCCCGCTGTCGAGCCAGACAATCCGATACCTGATGACCCGGTGCCCCCACTGTCGTGCCTGTTGACTCGGTGCCCGCAGCCTTGCCAGACGACTCGGTGCCCGCAGCCTTGCCAGACGACTCGGTGCCCGCAGCCTTGCCAGACGACTCGGTGCCCGCAGCCTTGCCAGACGACTCGGTGCCCGCAGCCTTGCCAGACGACTCGGTGCCCGCAGCCTTGCCAGACGACTCGGTGCCCGCAGTCTTGCCAGACGACTCGGTGCCCGCAGTCTTGTCAGACGACTCGGTGCCCCCGCTGTTCCGCCAGTTGACTCGGTGCCCGCAGTCTTGCCAGACGACTCGGTGCCCGCAGTTTGCCAGTTGACTCGGTGCCCGCAGTCTTGCCAGACGACTCGGTGCCCGCAGTCTTGCCAGACGACTCGTGCCCGCAGTCTTGCCAGACGACTCGGTGCCCGCAGTCTTGCCAGACGACTCGGTGCCCGCAGTCTTGCCAGACGACTCGGTGCCCGCAGTCTTGCCAGACGACTCGGTGCCCGCAGTTCCGCCAGTTGACTCGGTGCCCGCAGCCTTGCCAGTTGACTCGGTGCCCGCAGCCTTGCCAGACGACTCGGTGCCCGCAGCCTTGCCAGACGACTCGGTGCCCGCAGCCTTGCCAGACGACTCGGTGCCCGCAGCCTTGCCAGACGACTCGGTGCCCGCAGCCTTGCCAGACGACTCGGTGCCCGCAGCCTTGCCAGACGACTCGGTGCCCGCAGCCTTGCCAGACGACTCGGTGCCCGCAGCCTTGCCAGACGACTCGGTGCCCCCGCTGTCTCCGCCAGTCGACTCGGTGCCCGCAGTCTTGCCAGACGACTCGGTGCCCGCAGTCTTGCCAGACGACTCGGTGCCCGCAGTCTTGCCAGACGACTCGGTGCCCGCAGTCTTGCCAGACGAACTCGGTGCCCGCAGTCTTGCCAGACGACTCGGTGCCCGCAGTCTTGCCAGACGACTCGGTGCCCGCAGTCTTGCCAGACGACTCGGTGCCCGCAGTCTTGCCAGACGACTCGGTGCCCCGCAGTCTTGCCAGACGACTCGGTGCCCACTGTCGTGCCTGGTGACTCGGTGCCCGCCGCTTCGTCTGGGGGCCCGAGACCTGTTGCTCCGCCTGAGGGCCCGAGACCTGTCGCTCCATCTGGGGGTCCAGCGCCCGCCGCTCCGCCTGAGGGCCAGAGACCTGTAGCTCCGCCTGGGGGTCCGGCGCCCGCCGCTCCGCATGGGGGTCCGGCGCCCGCCGCTCCGCCTGGGGGTCCGATGCCTGTCGCCCCGCCTGGGGGCCCGGACCTGTAGTTCCGCCTGGGGGTCCGCCCGCCGCCCCGCCTGGGGGCCCGGGGGCCCCGTGCCTGCCGCCCCGCCCGGGGGCCCGGTGCCTGTCGCCCCGCCCGGGGGCCCGGTGCCTGTCGCCCCGCCCGGGGGGTGCCTGTCGCCCCGCCGGTGCCTGTCGCCCCGCCCGGGGGCCCGGTGCCTGTCGCCCCGCCCGGGGGCCCGGTGCCCCGCCCCGCCCGGGGGCCCGGTGCCTGTCGCCCGGGGCCCGGTGGTCGCCCCCCGGGGTGCCGGTGCCTCGCTCCGCCTGGTGGCCCGCTGCCTGCTGCTTCGCCTGGTAGCCCGATGTGCCTCTGCCCGGGGTCCTGCCCGATGTGCCTCTGCCCGGGGTCCTGCCCGATGTGCCTCTGCCCGGGGTCCTGCCCGATGTGCCTCTGCCCGGAGTCCAGCCCGGTGTGCCTCTGCCCGGAGTCCAGCCCGATGTGCCTCTGCCCGGAGTCCAGCCCGATGTGCCTCTGCCCGGAGTCCAGCCCGATGTGCCTCTGCCCGGAGTCCAGCCCGGTGTACCGCTGCCCGGAGTCCTGCCCGGTGTCCCAGTCTTTGATATCCCGCCAGTTACCAGACCCGGGCGGTGGAACATTTTTCCCAGCTAGGACTGTTTGGAGCGTCCTGAGGCCGCTCCTTGAGGGGTTGGGGGGGGGGGGGTACTGTCAGGAATGGACTGGCCAGCTATGGGTGGGACTCACCTGCCTTTTGATCTGCAGTACCAGGGCTGGCCAGTGGGTGTTCCCAGCAATCAGAGACTTAACTTTGCAGCCAGCTAACACCTGTAACTGATTATGCTGGGGTATTTAAGGGATGGCCAGACCCACAGACTCTGCCTTGGTGTGTGTTTGTCCTGGGCCCTGTATCCTGTTTCTGTCCTGCATCCTGTTTCTGAACCGCTGCTGACTTTTCCTGCTCTGATCCCGGCTCGCTCCTGACCATCCCTCTGTCTGACCCTCTGTACCACGCTGCTTGCTACCTGTTCTGATCCCTGGCTTGTGACCCTGACCAATCTCCGCTTGCTCCCCCTGTACCTACCTGCCCTATTGATATTGACCCGGCCTGCCTGACGACGCTTGCTTGTATGTACTGTTATCTGTGGGTGGTTTGGTTTGTTTGCACTGTATTATGTTTTAGTATTGCACTGCGTTTATGTTTGTATTGTTAGTGTTAATAAATTATATTGTTTATAACATATCTGAGGTCTGCGTTTCCCTGCGTCAGTCACACATCTCTGGTCACACCTGGGAGCCCTGACAGCTACATTGCATTTGTAGGTGCGCTCGTATACATGATCTCTATTACTTAAAATATGACTTAGTATTTGTGGAGAAACCCTTGTTGGCAAGCACAGAGGTAAGACGTTTCTTGTAGCTGGTTACCAGGTTTGCACACATCTCAGGAGGCATTTTGGTCCACTCTTCTTTACAGATCCTCTCTAAATCCTCTGGAGTTCTTGGCTGTCACTTGGCAACTCAAAGTTTCAGCTCCCTCCATAAATTTTCTATAGGATTAAGGTCTGGAGACTGGCTAGCCACTCCATGACCTTAATGTGCTTCTTCTTAAGCTACTCCTTTGTTGCCTTAAGGTCATTGTCATGATGGAAGACCCATCCACCACCCATCTTCAGTGTTCTGGCTGAGGGAAGAAGGTTCTCATCCAAGATCTTACAATACATTACCCCGTCCATTGGTCCCTCAAAGCAGCAAAGTCAGCCTGTACCTTTAGCAGAAAAATAGCCGCAAAGCAGAATGTTTCCACCTCTGTGCTTGACTAAAGGGATGGAACTAAATTTTGGTCTCATCTGACCACAGCACTTTCTTCCAATCCTCTGAATCATTTAGATGTTCATTGTCAAACTTCAGATAAGCCTGTAAATATGCCTTCTTGAGGTGGGGGACCTTACGGGCTTTGCAGGATTTCAGTCCATGATGGTGTATTGTGTTGCCAATGGTTTGTTTAGTGACTGTGGTCCCAACTGCCATGAGATCATTCATAAGCTCCTCCCGTGTAGTTCTGGGCTGATCCTTAATTTTTCTCATGATCACCCTTACCCCATGAGGCAAAATCGTGCATGGAGCTCCAGACCGAAGGCGATTGATGGTTGTTTTGTATTTCTTCCATTTGCGAATGATCGCTCCAACAGTTGTCTCCTGCTCACCAAGCTTCTTGCTGATGGCCTTGTAGCTTATTCCAGCCTTGTGCAGGTTTACAGTCCTGTCCCTGATGTCCTTTGAAAGCAGCCTATGGTGGTGCCCAAGAAAGAGATTCTGTGGACCAGTGTCTTTTATACACATAACTAGTGGTCATTAGGAGCACCTTCTTAAATTGACAGGACTAATCTGTGTACCACATGAGCACATAGCCAGTCTGTGGGAGCCAGAATGTTTGTTGGTTGGTAGAGGATCAAATACTTAATTTAATCACTGAACTGCAACTCTGTTTATAAAATTTGTATTATGTGTTTTTTCTGGATTTTGGGTTGATATTCTGTCTCTATCATTTAAAGCACATCTATGATAAAAAAATATAGACCCTTAATTTCTTTTGTAAGTGGGCAAACTTACAAAATCTGCATGGGATCAAATAATTATTTCTCCCACTATATCTGTCAACAAAATGTTATTGTTAATAATGCTACAACATGATTATATATTGCAAATATAGCTAATTCTTTTCCATAATTTGGCACAATAATTTTTAGGGGAGAAGTAGTTCACAAATAAATTGTAAAAAAATAGGTACATTTGACTAAGATCTATAGACAGAGTGCAATTTGCTAACCTTACTTGAATTGGCCCTCTTTTCTGACCTTCCTTAACATTCTTAGCAATTTAGCTGCTGACAAAACACAATGAACGTGGTGTGGGGCCTTTTTAACTTTTCATTATCAACATCATCACCATAATCATTATCATCATCATCAGTCATCAATTGGTCACACAAACACATTCCAACATTTTAAAACATTCTTTTTTGCCCAATAATGAGCCCTTTGGATGCTCAGATATGCTTGTTATTCCTTTAATTCAATCCCTACATGCAATCATAGAAAACACTCTAATCTTTCACATTGCATGCCTTGTATCTCTTAGATATCATTCATTTAATCAGTCTCAATGCTTTATGCTTTAGTGAATATTTCCTAGGGTGTCACAACATAAGCCTAAAATGAATGGTTTCTTAAAAGTTATCCAGAAAACATCTGTTGTAGTTTTATACCGTTTGAAGCTGAAATGAACGACATTCCTGTAGCAGATACAAAGCTGGTCATTAGTCTGAGCCACACAAGCAATTACAATTTATAACCTTGTGTCCTAGTTATATCAATCTAATCAAAGTAGCACACCCTCTTAATTCACTGGACGTGTTTGTTTTAAATATAAGTGATGTCCATAGCAACCAGTGAGTCATAGAATATGGTAGAGGAAAATGCAAATCTTTTCCTTGGACACCCGTGTCATACACAAGAAATATTTGTCTTCTATGACTGTCAATATGGATTTAAAAAGATATTTAGTACATTTAGAGAGTAGTTCACATGAGAACAATGTCTGCCAATAACCTGTCAACTTCATTATTATGTTCATTGCTTGGCTTTCTTCCATTCTTGAATAAAGCCTGGTAGAAATATCTTATCTGCCAAGTATGGTAAAATACAATTCATTGGAAAAATAATGCATTAGCATTCACACCGATGCTTCATTTCCAATTCTTATCATTCCCAGCTTTTTAAAATGAAGTATGCTCAGGGATGACT